TTTTAAAACACAATAAAGTCACTTTGATTCCTTTTTTTGTAAAAATATTTTTTTTATAAAGAATCGAATGTTAAAGTACAAGTAAATTATTAAGTCATTCTTAACAATTTATAATACAGTGATAAATCTAGTTAACAGAAAAGTTTTGATAAAAACTAAGTGTGATTAAACTTATTATAATTATTAATTTTTAAATTTAAAATCAAATTGCAATAATATCATTTTAAACGTAAATTTTACTTTTAATTAATACCTAATAAATCACAATAAATAATGGAACTAAATATAGTTTTATTAATCTTAATTTTTTTAGTTTTTTGATTTTATGATAAATAGAAATTATTGATCATTACTGATTTTTATTAATAACATTCATTATATACAAGTGTATAAAAAACAATTATTTTAATTTAAGCAGATTAATATAATACATTTATTGACAGCATAAAAGATAATTTAGGATTAACACTTAGAAATTTAAAGTTTTTCGATTTATAATATACATTTCATTAATTTTAAATACATAAAGAAAAGGAAATGATCAATTCTAACTTTATACAGACGAGATAATCTAAAGAATTTTTGTCATTAGTTTACCTTTGATATTGAAAGACGACTTAGCTCAACTACAAAATTAATTATAAGACATTAAAGGTAATTTTTTAGGATTTATAGGTTTGTTAAATACGATTCATTATTAAATATTAACTGACAAAATATTAATCATAATTAAACAACAAAAATGTAATAATAATTTTATAAACGCTTTCTTCGGAAACTATTAATATTTAATTATTTACACTATTAAGTAGACTGTAATTACCATTGTTATTGTTTCTCTATATTTTTATTAAAAAACAACTATTAGTATAGTAGAGCGTTAGTTACAGGCCCTAGGTTGTAACTATACTGTCGGCTTAATTTGTATTCTATTTATTTTTATAAAGGTAATCAGTTCAAAAATGATAAGGTCAAGATTATTTTTTGTTGTTTTTGGTGTTATTATCGTGTTAAATTGATAACAATTCTATTTGATATTGATGTAGTTTTGTCTGTGTTTAGTTATTGTTGTTGCTTCGACATTCTTTATATTTCTTCCTTTTCTACATCTCTTTTCAAAATTGTCAAATATGGTTTCATCGTATATTTTTTTTTTTTTTACTATTTGTTATTCTTTTTTCATTTTTTATTCAGTGTGATTGGTTTATCATAAACCACTCAATTAATCTTAAAATATATACAATATTGAAAAAAAAAATTGATTTTATTTAGTTGCGTATATTTCTTGATTTATCAACTAATAATTACTTTTTAGAATCATTCCTATGATTTAGAGTTGTGTCAATTTTATTTTTTTAAATGATAACATACATATTTAACTAACTTATAAAATAGGAAATAATCTAATTAAGAAATAACTGGTCAGTAACAACTTTTGGACCAGTACTTTGAAAGTTATTCTCATTTCTATACCTAGGCGAGACGATGAGTACGGTCAATAAAAGACTAGTGATAAAAAAAATATTTAAAAAAATAATGTTGACACCCATATGAGTCATAAGGGATGATTCTAGAAAGTACTTATTAGTGGATAAATCAATAAGTATGTGTAACTAAAAGGAATAAAAATTTATTTTCAATATGGTATTTATTTGAGATTAATATAATGATTTATGAAAAATTAATCACTCTGTATAATAGGTAACCAAATTTTGCTAATTTTCCATCCGTCCTTTATGTTATAATTTTCTGTACATTTTTCAACTTCTATTGGTTCCTAGTACATTTGTTTACCATAATGAACCTCATAATTCAAAATATTGACCTTATCAAATTGAATTTTGTGGCCACTGATTTTAATATGTTTGGCTACTACGAATATTTTCACCTTTTGGTAGGTCTTTTTTATGTTCTTTTATTCTTTTTGCAATTGCTTTTTATATTTGTCACATGAACATGATGTTTCATACATTCTTGGTGTTTGCATTTCTAGTTATTCGTCCTTCGCACCTCGGAGTAGTGCTCTAATGACTGTGTTCGGTTAAAATTTATTAGTGATTCTTGAGATACGGTTTTACAATTCCTTGTGTGTACAGAAATATTAGTATTTCTTACGTATTATCTTCCTTGTTTTTATCTTTGTTGTTGCTTACTATACTTTTTTTGGTTCCTTATTTTTAATTGCGTATCTATTATTTTGAAGTGCTTGCCGTAGATATATTTTTTACGTTTTTCAGCTATTTTTGTAGTTGTATGTAGTATTTTAACTTCCTATGCAAGGCAATGGTATACATCAGCATGTAGACATCTGGCAGTGTGTGTAATTTTTCTGTACACTCCTGTGCCATATTTACCATTTGTTTGTTTCTTAACTAGTACGTCTAGAATTTGTAGTTGTTCGTTTTTCTTAATTTCTATTATGGACTGTATGATGGCGTGTATACTATCAGGTGTTTCTAGAACCCTATTAATTGTCGTTCATCGCCGTGTTTCTACAGTCAAAACGTGTCATATATATGTAGTAATCATATTTTTGACTTTTGATCATATATGTTCATTACTTCTTAAAACCATTGCATGACTATATTTGTGAAAATTTAATGTCAACCTTGATCCCATTACCATTCCATCAGTTTGTTCATAAATTATGTTTTGGTAAGTGAAAACTGTTGCCTAGGTGCATACTTTTAATAGGTCGTGAAGTTTTTCATCTCAACATTTTTCCTCTTTATGATGTTTGATATGGCCTTTATTGGAATCATTGTAAATAGAAAGTCTATGTCGAAACTAACGAGAGTGTCTCTTCCCAATTAATTTACTGTGATTTTTCCTGTTCATTTTCTAGCGCTAAATATCAACTCCATTGTACTGAAAACTTTTTTTTCTCTTTAAAAATATGAAATAATCTCATATTTACTAATATTTAAGCCAAGTGGTAATTCTTTGCGTGTCGCTAACTCGAATCTATTTTTTTAAATATTCGCCTCATAACTAAATCACGTAAATTAAAACTTTTAAAACGATAACTTTATTTAAAAATGACCCTCAATTTCAAAACAACCACTTTTATCTATACAGAGTGATCGAAATCTGGTAAGACACTAATTTTCACAGAAAATATTGAGAATTAAAAATATTATTATAGAGAAAAATATCAAGTTCAAAAAACTCTACAATAACATGTAGTCAAACCATTATTTTTTTCGTCCCTTCAAGGATAAAAACCCTTATTTATAATTTTCTTAAATGGGAACCACTATTTTTGATTTGATAATATGATCGAAAAAAAAATTACAAACAATTTTGTTCTTGTAATTTTTATTATCCGATTAACCGTTCGTCCGTTACAGCTTGTTAAAGTTAAGTGATTTTAAGCCAAATTTCTATTGTCATTTCACTGTATTAAATACAGAAGTCATTATTTTTATTTGCTGTTGCATAAACCAAATTTTATTGATCAAGTTATAACAGGTAAATTAGCTATAAAAATTTACTACGCACTAAATGAATGATAACAATAATAGATTAAAATCGGGTTTTCGGTGTATTATTAATAGCTAAGTCTATGGGCCCCGACACATTAGGACGGTTGCGCCGTACGGTCGTAACCGTACGGTTATATCACCACGTGCCACATTGAACGGTTTGAAAACGGTTTTGCCGCATTTTTTGTTTATAATTCAATAGTTTATATTTTATTCATTCAAATGTCTTCTACTACGCTGTATAGAGCTCATCATTTTATTTAATACAAGTATTCAATTTATAATTTTCTACATTAAAAGTTAAAACTACTAGTGAAATTTGTTCATTAATTGTTCAAATAAACTTATAATATTAGGTAAGTTTATATATTTAATAAATAACTTCGTTTAGTAGTGTAACTCTTTACATAAATATAATTTTTGTCATCTAAGACTATAAAACTTGGCCGCCTCCTATACCTAAAAATTAATTTTTTTATTTTTGTTGTCTCAAAATATTAATATGAAACAATTAGTAATCATTTTAAAAGTTACTACCGCTTAATTTTTAACGTCCACGGGTCATATAGTCTTTGTGTGAATAGATACAGGAAAAACATTCATTAAACTAAACTTCTTCTTTTACTCAGAATGAACTTTGATAATTTTACTAACACTACTCGCGTAATAGCTGCTGCTGAAGCATTTGATCTGTTAAGTTCCCCTAAAGAAAAACGGAAGTATTGGATTCATCCTTATAATTCCAATAGGGAATAACATAAAAGATTTATAGAATTTTACCAAAATATTAGAATGTATGAAGACAAATTTTTTTAATACTATCGTATGAGTATAAAATCATTCGATNCCAAAATATTAGAATGTATGAAGATAAATTTTATTAATACTATCGTATGAGTATAAAATCATTCGATGAATTACTTCAAAAATTAAAACCATCGATAACGAAAAAAACCACTAGATTTCGAGAGCCAATTTGTTCTGAAGAAAGATTAACACTTACTTTAAGGTCAGTAGTGAAATTAACATTTAATTTTTTTATTTATATCAATAATAATTGTAATTAACTATCGGTGTTAGGGAATTGTGGTAATGAAAATTTGATAGATACTTCAGTGAATCAATTGACACATTCAAATTGTATTATACTTATATTAAAGGTCATAAGTGGCCGGAATAATTTTTTTGAAGCATAATTCCCCGAAGTTTCCCTTTCATATACTTATGGGATGGACACTGCTATCTAAAAAACTCTCCTTATAATGAAAGTTTTTCATGGTTATGAACATAACTCTATCAGGGTTATAGCCAATGAAGGGTAAATAACCCAACCTTAACTTTTATAAAAATTTAACTAAAGTTACTTTTATGAGGATAAATTTTTAATTGTTATAAATACCTCAACATGTATATATATATATATATATATATATATATATATATATATGAAAATTTGGTTTAGTGAAGTATTTATTAGTCTATGGTCATTAAAAAATATTTTATTTTACTGTGTATTCTGCATAAAAACGAATTTTATACTCCTATTACTTTGGAAATGTTTAATTAAAAAGTATTTTTGAAGTGGCCATTTATTACAGTAGCGTAATTTTGAGATATTTGTCTGAATTTTTAAAACAAAAGGGTTTTTCCAATATTTGGTGATTATAAGTTCAACAAAATTAAAATCGTGTTCTTTTAACGTATTGGTCAAGTGAGAGCTCAGAAAAATGAATGACAGACACAAAAAAAAACACATCATAGTAAAATTAAACCTTTTCAATGATCATTGAAGCTGAAATTTAAGAATCATAAAACATTTTCAGATTTTTATCTACGGGATCAAACTTTGTAGCTTTACAATTTGAATTTTTATTGGGAAGAAGTACAATAGCTTTAATTATACGAGAAACTTGTCAATTTTTGTGGACCATTTTACAGCCTGAAGAAATGCCTTTACCTGATCTTGAAAAATGGATGGATGTTACTAATCAGTATTATAAAAAAACTAATTTTCCCAATTGCATAGGAGCTGTAGACGAAAAACATATTCGTTGCCAAAACCCTCATGAAGCAGGCTCTTTTTTTTTTAACTACAAAAAGTATTTTTCTATGTTATTAATATGCGTAGTAGATTCCGAATATTGTTTTATCGCTATCGACGTAGGTGCTTATGGTAGAGAAGGTGACTCGACTGTCTTTAAGGACTGTCCATTTGGCAGAAAACTTTATTCAAACCAGCTAAATCTTCCTGCGCCTACTTGTTTGCCAAACACAACTAGCTCACCGCAACCATTTGTTTTAGTGGCCGACAAAGCTTTTGGATTACACCAAAATTTATTGAGACAATTTCCAGGACGAAACCTCACTCAAAAAAGAAGAATATTTAATTATAGATTGTCAAGAGCTAGAAGATTAGTAGAATGTGCTTTTGGAATCCTTGCTAACAAATGGAGAATTTTGCACACAACGATTTTAGTTGAGCCAGATTTTATCAATGAAATAGTTAAAGCCTGTTGTATACTACTAACTATGTACGCAGAAGAGACGGCTACAATTTTGAGGATACGTTATCTAATTTTTTGGAGGATTATTAGGTTAGTGGGGGAACTGGATCTCGTCAACAAGGGATTGAAGTAAGAGACTATTTTGCTGAGTATTTTATGAACAATAGGGCTGAGCCCTTTCAAAACCGATATTTTAAGTGGGGTATGTATGAACTTTGATATCAATAATACATTGACATATTTGTACTTAATCTCTTTTATATTTTATAATGTATTTTAAATATGCACCCCATACATCCACAAAAGTATTTTCTAAATTCTATAGATTTTGTAAGTCATAATAATAATAATAATTTATAAACAACATAAAATATTATTTTTAATTTAAAAAAAACGCATGAAAAATAAAAAATAAATATGCAAAACAATTTGCGAATTATTACATCTTCCAAAACCGTACGATTGAACCGTACATGTGTGATGGTGGTGATAAGATATAATGTGTTTTGATAGCAAACGGTAGAACGGCAGCGCCGTCAAACCGTGACATGAGACGGTTTTGAAACGTACCGGACGGTCGATAACGGCGATACCGTGTAGTATGACGCTATTGATTTAAACATGCATATTCTTGATGAACGGTATAACCGTACGGTTATGACCGTACGGCGCAACCGTCCTAGTGTGTCGGGGCCCTATGGTTTTGTAAGACTAAAGGATCTAACAAAAATACCGATTGCACTGCCACCGATATTATGAAACGTAATAAATGACAATATTTTTTCTGGAAGTCAAAATCTTTAAACAATTATAAAACGTAAACGGTTATTCGGATAAAAAAAATTATAAGAACAAAATTATTTGTAATTTTTTTTCTATCATATTATCAAATCAAAAATAGTGGTTCCCATTTAAAAAAATTATAAATAAACTTTTTTATCCCTGACGGAATAAAAAAAAAAATTATTTAACTTCATATTATTGTAGAGTTTTATAAACTTAATAAGTTTTCTTTTTACAAAAATTTTAAATTCTCAATAGTTTCTGAGAAAATAAGCGTCTTACCAGATTTCGATCACTCTGTATACAAAATACTAATGTACTTTTTATTTCAGTATATAATTGAAAATTTAATAAAAGCAAATTAATTAAACCTAATATTATTCAATCGTACTTTTTAAAAGACAACAAAATAGTAGATATATTCATTGTATACGCACATAAATTTTGGATATATAAATGTAATAAAATATCATTTAGAAGAAAGAATACTAACTGTATGAATTGGAAAAAAATTACACTAAATGATAACTTAAAAATTATTTCTATTATTATTTATACCCTTGTATGTAATAGAAGTAAAATCATTCATATAAAGAGAATTTAGTTATATAAATAACACATAAAACACAATTCTGTTTACTAAAAAGTTGTGCCTACTTTCTAATTTATTTATTACCACAATAATAGGTTATAACAGTAGGTTAAAATAATACTAATAAGGGTACATTATAGTTTATGATACAGGTAAAAGCATTACAAATCTGAATAGCACTCATTGTATTTACGGTAAGTACACTTACTTTTACTATAAATAATAATGTATTACCATATTTACCTTGAAAATGTATCATATTTAATCATTAGACTTGATAACTGAGTTTTCAACGTTATAATAATGTACTTAATTTTGCATTTTTTTAATTTCTTAAATTGTTGCATTAAATATGAAAGCAAATATAAAGCTAATGCTTAACTGTGTGTTTTTGCTAAAGAATAAATGTCATTTTAAAGAGTTATGATTCCTATTGTAGTACTGAGTAAATAAAATTGTCCCAAAATGAAATGGGTACCTAAGCCATCTATCAAAGAAATGTTAAGGTTAATATACTAAGCCAAAGATTGTTATTTTAGTTTTTAATATTAGAGTGCTTCACTACATTCAATTAAATTATTTTTTATAGCGAATCTAATGTATTATCTTACAATTTTCATCAATTATTTGTTCATGGTACAATAATTAAAGAAAAACATTAAAATTTCTCTTACCTGTGAGCTGCTACATACATTTTGAAATAAACAAGAATTAGCATGACACAGGGCGCAATAAAAGCTGTTAACAACAACACCATGCCGTGTGTCTTTTCCGTGACTGATATAGATAATTTATCATGAATTAAGAATTCTTTAAATAATATTGGAGATGCCAAAGCAGCCGAAATACTCCAAACGGCACCTATGACTAAAAAAGTAATTTTAATAGTAACATAATATTTAAATAATTTTTTTAATTGTTTATTAAAAAAAATTATTTTAACTACAAAGTGAAATCATTTATAAAAATTAAAATTATTAATGTGACTATAAGCTCTAATATAGAAAAACGAAAAAACTAAACAATATAAAATATTATTTTTGTATATTTTAATAAAATATAAATAAATCCGGTTAAACAATTTCAGCTTAAAATATATATACTAAAATATAATTCATATGCATGTATAATGGAAAATCTATTGTAATATTATACAAGCTTAGCTTACAATAGGGAATGTAAAATATAAATAATAATCATAATATTAAATTTATTAAAAATAACTAAAAATCATTAATTTAATACTACCATTTTATACTTATTTTGAACGTTATTATAAACGATATGAACAATATTAATGTAAAAATGTATCCAATGAAAAATATGCTCACACTCATAAAAATCGTTGCGAAGTGTTTATCAAAATGTCAACATTTTCGTTGCATAGTGAAAGAAATTATTTATTTTTTAAGTTTAAAATAAACTTTGTAAATTAAATATAGTGTTTTATAGTAAATTACTATTCTAAAAATAGTTAATTAGAACTTTCCCTTTATTTTGTTACATATACATGTAAAAACAACATTTTACGAAGTAAACTTAGGTAACCTGATAAATTTAAAAAAATATCACTCAAAAGGTGTGTAATATATATTTTAACAGAAATATACTAACCAAAAGCACTTTTTTGTCTTGTTACATTTGTAGCATAGTGTAGTGGGCTCAATACTGCAGTATACCGATCCATAGCTATAACAAGTATTGAAAAAATGGTCGAAGTAGCTACGAACACGATTAATGTTTTATTTACGTTTTTAACGTCAGATACCAGTAAAGGGCCAAGAATTATAGAAGACAGCAAATCAGATGCAATGAGACTGCCAACAAATCTATTTGATAAGTACAACATTTTTATTAGGTTTGATTAAATAATAAATATTATTAAAAGTTTAAAAATTCCAATATAATATTTAATGAATTTTAATATATAAATTTATAGTTTATCGAGTTAAACTAAATGAAATAGACATAAAACTATTAAAGCTATTGAGTGAAATTATTTACTTCTATATATTTATGGAAATATATTATATACAAGTATATTTTCACAAATGTATAGAAACTAAGTATTTTCATCTTGATATGAAACACTAAGTTAAGTTCCCACAATGTAATAGTCAAAATGTAATTTAGTTGAAACAATAAACATTTTCATATGCTTTGTTTGCCATGGGTATTTAATTAAAACTACTGATGTGCATCAATCTCCATACAAAGTTATTTCATGTTTTATGTTAATATTTTACAAATTTAAAAGTAAAAAATTATGTTCAAACGATGCAATTTGATTACAAGAACTTTGTATTAAATTATTACAAGAACAAAAAAATTTGTAGTATTTACATTTTTTAGGAGAAAATACCCGAGTATGCAAAACTTTTGATAACAATCAACTAAAGGAATAGAAATTAATTTTCTTTCAGTATTTTCGATATTATTATATCTATATTTATGACTCATTAGTCATTAGGTCTTAATGGGTTTAATGAAGTTCATTATAATTTATTATGAAAGAATGACAAAACCTACAAAATTTTGTTTCTTAAAATTATGCTCCTAATATGGAACAGTTGGTGTTCCTTATATTGAATGACCAATTTTAAGAAAGCTGTAAATATCATTTGGAATATTTGAATTACATACAAGATAAAATTAAAATTTTAAAAGTAAACTTGATAAATATATTTAAAATAATGATTATGAATATGTAAAATTAATTAAACCACTAATAAAACACACAAAACATTAATACTTATGTTGTGGCCAACTAACTGTTTTTGCATCTTAATGTATAATTGGTAAATAGATACATGGGTTAATATAAATCATAAGTTATAATCAATGGTTCTATTAGTTAAGGAGAGATCAACATGTCCCATATTGGGTACCACCTATCCTATAAACAAGTATTCTCTCCTAGTATTTTAGCGCATAGCTTATGAAATACAAAAAATTCTCCGTTACAATATGTTATGCATTAAAAATTGTTACAAAAATGTTATGAATAAATTCATTTTAAAATAAAAATTGATTTGGTTTAAAAATTTCTATATTACTATGTAGTTCAAGCTTTGTTCCCTTTGTAAAAAAATCTCTTAAATTAATTTTCCTTTAATATCAACCCTTATATAAAATTAAATACTATCAAAACAAAACCTGTGAGTAAATAATTAGGAATTTATTTTAATATAATGAGGTTAATTTAAACTGTCTTCAATTTAAATATAAAATCCTTCATTTATATTATAAATGAAAATATTATTTACAGTAATATTGATTTTTGAAAACTTAATTAAACTCATTAAAATAAAATAAAATGTTACTAATATTTATTATAATTAAATGATAGGATAATACCTATTTGAAGGAGATCGAAGTGAAGGTTTTTTATAAAACATAACTAGTACAACAATGTTGAAAAATGCGCCGATCACAGCTAAGAACCCAATGCACGTAATTTTGACCGCTGAAACAAAATAAATATAATTTAATTCACCAATTAAATATTTTTATATTTAACATAGAGAATTAAAATATATAATAATAATACAGTAATAATATCTGACACGGCACCGCACGGCATTTTTATATCTTAATACGACCTCTAGTCTTATTATATATGATATATATAATAATCTTATTGAGTCTTACTCTTTTTTCAAAGTATTTTTCTTCTACTTTTAAACCACCAATGACTTCTGTCACTCTATTTAGTAGCAGTCACATAATTATTTACGTATATTTCTATCATTTACCATATTAATATAGTTTATTAATATGTACTAATGTAAAAAGCCGTTTGGCGATTATTATTTCAAATAAATAAATAAATTCCACACAAATTATGTAAAAAATAAAAGTATTTTAATTAAGTAACCTTGAAGAATTGTTTTCCAATAAATAAATAAAAAAAACAATGTTAAATTACCAAAATAAGAACAATAACTATACCATTGCTAAATATATATTTTTAATTCAATTTAAAATTCTATATGATATTCCTGTGGTACATATCAATAATTAGTACTTGAATATCATTAATAATATAGGTTTTATTAAAAATCAGTAGTAGCTAATAGCATTCTTTTTCAAAATAAAAGGTATTAATTAAAAGAAATAAAATAAATCAAATTAACGTCAATTTCAATTTGCGGATTTATTCAGTATTTACCAAGATTTAATACGAAATTTATGTAACTCTACGTATATTATACATACAGAATGAATAGTGACTAGTTTTGAATAATTGAATAATTTTTGCTCTTCTACATTTTTTCTTAAATGTTTGTATTGTTAAAAAAATTGTTTTTTTTTTTTTTTTTAAATTTTTAAATACAACTAAATTTTAGGAGTTATCTTACAAAATATTTTAATATATTTACAAGTAGATTCGCACTAAACATTTTTGAACTATACATTTTTTTTTGCTAATCAAGTATAATTTGAGCATCTTTTTTTGTAAAAAAAATTATAACCTTTTTCCATCATTTTTGTTGGTGGCATAGATTTTAACAGTAAGCTAAGTTTGATGAGTTCAATTTACTATAAATGTATATAACTAAAACATTTATCGTCAAACTGCGTTTCATAATTGAACCACTTATTTGAAAACAACATAATAATATAAACAATGTAAAACACAAAGTTTTGAAAATCTTTGAAAAGTTTTTAGTGCATTTTTTTTTATTAGGAGCTAAACATAGGAAATTTTTGTATTACTTCATCCTAATTGTATCTCCAAAGTTCAATCATTTTCATCATATGAGTTCCAAACTCCGTTCTCTCCTTGTGCACGACTTTGAATTGCATAAGTTTTGTGTTATAATGAAACATTTTATGCAACAATGACAATACTTTAAGTTAATTTCAAACAATTATGTGTAATTTTAATTAGTTAATTTGATATCTAAAATTCTATTCCCCTTTAAAATACTGATTATCTCGTTATTTTATTATCTTTATTACTGTGTATTAAAAATAGTATTTTATTACACGTACAGTAAAACAAAGAATATTCAGACATCTAAAAAAAATTATTTGCTTCTAGAAAAATGGTCATAATCTTACAGACATATAAACATAGTTTAATCACTCGTTTAAATATTTTTCTAAAGGTGTTGATCTTAAAGATCTGTAAGACGATGGCAGTTCGAGAGGTAATTTATTTTTTCTAGACGATGTCTGTATACTTACTGAACTCACTGTAATTATTTTAATAAGAAATAACATTATTTAATTTGTACTAACATTATTAGTTTTTAATACGTAACTAAATATACAAAAAAAAATAATAGATATAATTTTAAATACATTATAAAATTTTCAATATATTTAAAATATTATTTAAATTTTTCTTACGCCAAAGTGCTTAAAAAAATTATTTGTTATAGAATAATTTGTAATGATTTTCTTGGCTTCCGGTGTAATTACGCCAATTACTGGCATTACAAAAAAGTTATTGTGTTCAACGAAGTTAAAAAAGCGATCATCCAATATATAAAATCATTTTATATAGTTTACTTTTTAAAAATCTTAGAAGAAAATATTAGAACTAATGAAGAAGATTGACATTATTTTATTATACGTCCACGTCTAACGTATCTTTAACAAATAGTAACGCAAGTAGTGTCAATATAATCAATCAATGTAACTGTTCCAATCGCCTTCTTCCTCTGTACAATTTTTAAGTATTTTATATCTTTCGTATCATGATAAATAGAATTTAACAAAAACCCTAGCTATTTCAAAGCTATTAAAACTATATTAGTTTTCTTTTAATTTATTATAATTTAATCTATTCTAGTTTTTTTTTGGTAGTTGTTTCCAAATAAATAAAAATAAATACTAAAATTAATGGTATAATTTTTTCCCCGTGTTTCTGGCACATTAATTTCATTTTTTCAAAGTCAACATGCATATATAATGAGATTTTTGTGCATTTTTAAAATTATCTACAATAGTCTAAGATATTCATTTTTATTTACATTTTATTACAGCAGCAGCATTTCGATGCTGCTGTAATAAAATGTATATATAATACATATACCACTGTTAATGTCTGGCCTTAATTAAGTTATTTTATTCTAATCATGAATTCTACATAAAACACGTCAGCTACCTTAATTTTTTAATTCCTTCGTCAAATTATTTAATTAACTCCATAAGAATCGTCTGACAATTTATTTTACAACACAGCATAGAGTAACCGTAAAAAAAGCTATAATTTTCACCAACAGATTTAATATGTAACAGAGCTTACATCATTTAATCTATTTAATCAATTAAATCTTAAATAAAATCTAAAAACAAAAGAACATGCTTGCTTACAAGCAACAAACAAAAATAATTAAAGAATTGTTATTTTATTTCAATGAACTAGTTTAAAAACATGAAGTATAGTAATTTCAATTAAAAACAAAATAGACGTTTTTAGTGTTAACAACCATTATCAAATTTAACACTAGTATTCGTGAATGCAACATAAAGTTATTTTAGTATGTTTATATCATTATAACATTTTCATGAAACAATAAGAAATTCAGTAATAACGATTAATAAAGGTCTTTTATTACTTAACGTTCAAATTTTTGCTAAAACTCGTTGACAATACTTTAGTCTAAATATACAAACAATCTATGCAAAAAAAAAATTGTTTATTTTATTAGAAGTTCAATTATTTCAATTAAGCTATTAATTTAAAAATGTATAAATTACTGAATTATCATTTAAAGATAATTTATGGGAAGTGATTTCAAGTAATACACTAGAAAATCAACATAACACTACACAATTGTACATGTATTTAAAAAAGATGTCAATGGGTTCTGTTCCTCCGAATTATATTATAGATACAAGGTTTAACTTGATATTATTTTGCAGAAAAAGTAAAATTTTATTTTTAAAAAATCCTCCTTAATACCTCTCCCATCTTCAGAAATAAAATCTTGACTACGTGCTTGTACAAAATCATTAAAAAATTGCAAATGAGACGCATGATAAAATTTAAATGATCAAGATTTAATGTTCTCAATTTTATGAAATACTGGAAAGTAGAACAGCTCAATCTGTTTAGTTAATCTTAAGCTTTTGACATCGATATTCATAAAATAAATATTATTTAACAATTAGACTCTTTTCTGGTATAATAGATCAAACTACTGAGTTTAAACAGATCTCGTTGAAATTACATATGAAATTAGATAGATATGCGGGAAAGTGAGATTAATTGTAATATATTTATCATTATCATAATATGGGATAACAGTGAGCTTGTTAGTGTGCACAATAATGATCTTTTATTTAACCTTTTTGTTTAAGAAAATCAACACTTCTATTTATACATTATATTCATATTCTTAGAAGAACTTGATTCTTTTCAAATTTCAAAAAATAATTTCGAGAAATATTTAACAAATGTATACTGTTTAATCATATTATATTATATACACGTTTCAGCCATAAATCAATAATTAGTTCTATTTAAATCATGAATATTGATCACTATTAAAATCTCTCTCTACCGAGAAGAAATCTATAAATTATACCTCTCATTTTTTTTACTCTAATCTTAATAATTAAACGCAGTGTGTCAACCCTAATTTTAAGTGTAAAAAGTGTATTAACGTTAGATAAAATATCAAAATTTATTGTATACTATTTATCTGTAATAATTTATATATTTTATGTTTACTTATCAATAAACAATAACATTGTCAGAACAAAACAATTGTAATTTTTGAAGAAACAAAATATTATAAAATGCATAGCAATTCTTTTTTTATAAGCCCTGCTCTAACTGCATACTAGAAATCGTTACATAAAAATTGAGATTATCATTGTCAGAATTTTTACATATTGAAATTGTGAACTAAAAATCAAATTTGTGTTAATAAACTATTATTTAATAGAGTTACTGAAGTCATTCTAAGAATAATGAAACATTTACCCGGTAAGATTTCATTTATTAATAGTCAATAATAATATTATTTCATAACACTCCAATCACAACTCAAATAAAGATAACTCTCACTTTTATACAAAGCCTTTCAATTTTTATTTTAATCTTTTATTTATAGTTAAAAAAATAAGTGTGTAACATATTTTAAAAAGTTTTGAGTAACGATACAAACCATAAATAGGTAAATAACACTATCCCAATAATAAGCAAACACTTGCAATATTCTCAGAATATTATTACAGTTACTTAAATGTAATTACACCTATGTATTTGATATTTACCATATTGCCAATCCTGGTCAACGTGCATAATGAATCATCCGCGGCCAGTGTATAGTAATCGGCATTTTTACTATTTTAGATTTACCATTGGTGGTTTTGTTTGGTGTAACTGTAAACAAATAAACTGAAATCAATCAATCATTCTATAATAATTATGAATAAACTAAACACTAAACAAATATACTGAAACACTATTATCATATATGTCAACACACTCCTTATTTTCTTATGGAACAAGTTAATAGCGCAAAATTTTGCAATCGATAAATTATTACGAAAATGTCAAATTGACAGATAATTAATCCAAGTGATTACACTCAAAATCTCGTGTCACCAAAATATAACAGGATAAAAATATAAAACTAATAAAAAGAGATGACTTTTTTCCATAATTATAATTTACGATTATAAAGAAGGTTATTGTTATAACTACCTATTAACATGTAACAATTTGGTATTAAAATTCAGGATTTACAATATTTAAATTATGTTACAAAAACAAATACTTTCAATTATTTCATACATGCATCCTAATTTTAAAAAATGTTTAAAAAACGTCTAATGTAAAAATTTTGAAAAGGAACTTGATAAAAAATGTAATAATATTTTCAATAAATTAAAGGACATTATACTACTGTTTTATTTGTTTAACGCAGCGATAAATATTACAGAAATAAATTAATTGAAAATGTATATTGCATTTAATTGGTAATGCTTTCAAAATCAATTTGTTTTCTAAAAATAATATAGCACGCCAACAATTATAATACAATATTAATTATTATTTTTAACTTAAATTTACATAGCATTTTTTTAATTTACAAATGGTTTTTAAAATAGGGTGTAACGTCTGTTGAATGTACGTTTAATAAAAGCATTATAAATAAAAAGTTTAGTTTAATAATAATTAACATAAAATAAAATATATTTTCTATTGCATTATCATTTATATTTTTTAATAATGCAAATTACTATTAAAAAATACGTGTTATATGTAGAACAGCTCGTAATAATTTTAATCACTCTTATCAAATAAATAGATCTTGACCTTGAAATACACACAATTTTGTTTACCTCGTTTTATATTCTAAGTTCATTAACAGATCATTTAATATTTTTAATAGTCTTTTATTCATTATATATAATTCAAATTTAACTCTTTAAAATTAATTCTTAAGAAATATTTACAGAAAAATCATCATTTGGGATAATTTTATTAAGCTTATTTATGTAATTACTATAAAACTTGTTTAATGATTTTACTAAATGTAAATATAATGCTAACAATTATATTTAATATAAATATTAGTTTGTAATCAGAAAAGAAATTTTTAATTACAATTATTTTGTTTAGATTTAATTTTATATAAATTAATTTAAATCAGATAATTAATTTGAATTCTTTATTTTATGCGTAATTATTCAACGGAACTTTATTTTAAAAAGTGTATAGTATACTTTTTTTAAAATTATAATGGATTTTTTTGAAATTAGGTTGATATGTTATTATATGTAATATATTAATAAACTTATTTTAATATTTATAATAAGTAAATGTTTAATAAAATGTTTAAACTTACTTTTTAACTTCCTTGCGCGTATCCATTTGGGACATTTAATTCAATTATTTAACATAGATTTTATTTTAAAACAAAAAGTTTTGTTAGTGTTAAATGTACTAGTACTTTATTAAAATAATATGTTTAATAATATACACAGGTAAATGAATTTGAACTAGAACCTTAAAAAGGAGTATAATCATGTTTTGTTCAACAAACTCATTTTACTAAGTACGTTTTAAATCAACAAAATAAGATAAACACTATTTTTCAATGATAAATATCAAAATTAAAATACAAGCAGAATGGATTCATCGCTAACTTAACGAACCAACTACATTATAGAAATTTGTATGTTAACTGTATTTTTTTATTTTGATTTTTAAAGTCCATTAAAGGCATAGTGGCCTTTACCAAAGGAGGAGGTTAATTGGAGGCCACTCCAATTACCAAACTGATCTTTCGCTCGGCAAATGAAGCCGCCCGTGACCGAGTTTCGAACCCAAAACAATGCGCATCAAGCACTGCCGCGTTACCGACTCAGCCTCCCTTTGTTAAATAAATTGTTTAAATTAATTTGTCACTTAATGTACCTATTAAAATTAAAGTATAAAACATTTTTTAATCCAATAATATTAGTTTGTGAAATATTTTTGTATCATGTTGATATACCCTTAACTGATGCTCACGTAAAGTTGGCAATAGACTTCAGTTAGAATGTCAGCCTTATATCCAATTCATTTACTATTTTCTCTTTTCTTTTTTTCTTAATTTTAATAATACAATTTTCAATATATTCTTGTTACACTAATTCTGATGTAATATTTATTTTACAAAACACTTATCGTGCCCGGCGTAGTCGAGTACTCTCATCGGAATCAGTAGCCTAAGAGTCGACGGCCCAATGAAGCTTATGTGTCGAAGCGTGTTAGGCCTCTAGGTCCCAGAGTCTGGGGTGGAACATAGTATAATAGATGAGCAAAAATAACTTAAAACATTTGAGAATTAATTATTACATGGAAAAAAAATGTCAGCGCCTAAATTTATTATTACTTTTTAATATCACGATTTCTTATAAAACTTATGCTTTTTAAAATTCACAAAATAAATTATTTTCTGGCTCTTTAGATGGAACAAAAATTTATTATTTTTTGTATATTAAATAATAAATTACTTTATTAGTCTTATTTATCATGCAATTGTTCGTTATTAAAAATTATTAGTATTCATTTCAGCTATTCTAAAAAAAGTTCAAATAATTAATTTCAATTCAAAATCATTTAATCGTATGTTTTTTTGTCGAGTAAAACATAAAAGAGTTTATTATTACAAGAATTTCTATTTCCATACTATTTTCCCATAATAAATAGTAAAATCGGTTAGTTAAAATATTTTTATTTCAAAAAAACCTATCAATTGCAAGGTTTTTCACATTATATAAAACCAATATTGTTAGTGAAATACAGCGTATGGTATATAAGTTCTATCTTGATAGACGAATACGATATGAAGGTCGTCGCATTCAAAGTACGTATAGAACACGCAAAGTAAAGTCGCTTAATATATTGATATCTTATGACAAAATAGCTAAGTTAGTTATGAATTTTAATTTGAGAAATAATAATTAAATAATTACGAAATCCTAAAATGTTCACTCTAATTTTAAGATTATTATTTAATTAATAATAAGTATTACATCTAATGTATCTAGTGAAAAATCGTTAACTTATTTTTTAGTGTACTTAAAAATACATGAATATTTATTGTCAAATATGGTCAAGAAAAAATAATCAAGCCCATTATATTTATTGATTGTCTGTAAACCCTATTATTAATGTATAATTTTGCTGTCGAAAAGTTTCGAAACCCTATTGATTTTTTAAAATGAACGAAGTGCACTAGAAATCGTGATGGTGTTGTTGTTGACGTTGAACATTATACTTTAAACAAAATTAATTAAATGGAAAGCTATGTAGAAGAGAACCTGAAAATGCGATTTAAGTCAAATAAAATGTAATAAATTTCAATTCATATATTAACTGTTGAAAACAATATTTGTACCGGATCGGCATGTATTAAGAAAAATCAATTTGACCTTGTCCTAAATAATAATTTAGGTGTCTTCTATCTTACCAACTATCGAGTAGTAACACAAAATTTCAATATTCAAATTAAATATTAAAATAGTTCAGTCGAACTACTATTATACATGAAACAATAATATAAATAAAAGTAAAAACGAAATAGTTGAAACGCTTCAAAAGTAATTTTACAAAATGTGTTATTCAAATACCTAATGGTTAATATTATTATAAACCTCAGATGAAATGGAGATCAAAATAAAACTAGTATGTTAATTGTCAATCTGAATCTCTACATTTTTTTGAGCAATGGTGTCATACATAAATTTGTCAATTAATTGTTTATAAAAAAAATGTAATGATCGAAAAAACTGTTTTTTCATTGTTTGTAAACTTCTAATAAGGTAGGCGTAAAATTGACAAAATAACAGACTGTATAAATTCAAATAAATTCTGTATTACACCCCTCCTAACCCTATAAATTCAGCCCATCTGTTAAAATCAAAACATTACATTCCTATTTATAATATTTGAAAATATACTTAAACAAGCAAAAGATTTTAATGGTAAATTAAAATAATTAAATAGTAATTGACCTAATGCGAATGAACTACAAACATGTCATAAAAAACTTGAATAGTTTATTCGTATTAACTAAAAGTTTTAGCTAAGTGCTACTTCGTGTTAAGTAAAAACTATAAAGTATTCACATAGTTTACCTTAAGGTCACGAAGAGTGTATGATACAGTTACTTTGTGTTACTTAAGGATGAGATATGATTAATATGATGTAAAAGTCCCTACAATTGTGATAAGCATGTATTTACACTTACGAGTAATTGTATTACTTGTTTTATGATATCAAAACTAAATTTCAAGATTGATCGAATCTTTCAGTAAATATAAAATGTAGTCGTTAAAAATTGTTCACAAAATAAAAGTTTTTATTAATTTTTTTAAATGAATTAATAATATATAATATTGTATTAAATACGTTAGTATAAAGTACAACGAATTTACGGTAAGGAGATAATTTATTCGTACCTTTCCTTATTTTAATTTCAAGTATGTCTGTACTTATTATTTTAGTTTGTTTCCTTATAAATCCTAATCTCAATAATCATGATAAATTCTTTAAGTAATCACAGTATAATAAAATGAATATGAAGGCATTTTAAAACGAAATTGTTATACTGTACCGTTGACGAGTACACGGCTAACATTGACGACGATAATGTAATTATAATACGAACTAACACAATAAAAAAAAACCGTATAAATTTGTAACAGTATAAATGAACAGTAAATTTGGCCAAATAGCATGGACAAGTTAATTAAATTTTAAAATTAAAAATTATAAATATTTATCAATTTTGATTGATGGAATCATTAAAATACATTTACAATATAACTATTAGTTATAATAATAGTAAATAATTATTGTTATAATTATTAGTAAGTTTTTCTTTCGAACTAGTCAAGATTAGTGGCAGATTACAAACAAATTTAGGTTAAATTTTAATTGTATATTGAAGAAATGTAATATATTTAATATGGCAAAATCAGCGTTTTAAAACATTTCATAAATTTAATTTAATCACGCATAAGCTTTTTCAAGACATACTGGGTTACGAAATTACTTTTATAAAATTTCAAGAAAGTTTTTGTTAAATAACGTATCGAATGTGTGTTGTAAATATTCGCTTACGTCGCACACTAAATTACATGTCTATTTTCTTTCTAAAAAATAAATATTTTATATCGAATTTAAAAATAAAAAATTATAATTTAATAGTTCTTGTATTTTTATCTTTAGATAATGTTTAAAATGTACTGATTTGAGGCAAAGTAAAAAAAGCATTTCTTAAAAATTGCTATTAAAATCTCACTTCATGTAAAATAATACTTTATTAAAAA